ATAGATAGATAGATAGATAGATAGATAGATAGATAGATAGATAGATACCATGGACTGTCTTTATTGGGCCACTGTTTCAATTACAGTAAACACCATCTTATAGTAAGCAAACTCAGTCCTGAGACGTGCCGCCACCAAACCATTAAACATAAGCCCAGTGTGGCAGTCGTGTTACCGTGGGTGCCCCAACAGAGTCTCCGAGACCAAGATTTGATTGTTGCGACGGTTTATTTCCAGAGCATGTGTGCCACCCGCACACACTCTCGCACACAATCACACGCACGCCCGGCTTGGGCTCTTTCGCTCGTAGCTTTGGTTGCCAGTTGTGTCTCCGAACTGGTGGCTTGTCTCCTGCTCAAGTTTCCCTTCCTCCCAGGTCCAGCACGCTACTCTTTTACAAAGGGGAGAGTGATTAGGCAACTGGTTCCAGGTGCGCTCAATCATCTCCCCTGGCACTGCTCACCTGAGCCTTTTCCCCCCCTCCCCCCTGCAGCTGTGCGCCACGCCCCCTCCACATACCTCCACCGCCTGACTTAGGCCGGGGAGCCGTCCGGCCTAACCCACTCCCCCCCCCTCCCCATGGGAACGGGAGAGGAAGTCGGCCACGACCATCTGCGTCCCCGGCCTATGGACCACCCTGAACTTAAAAGGCTGTAAAGCCAGATACCAACGGGTGATCCGCGCGTTGGCATCCTTCATGCAGTGGAGCCACTGGAGGGGAGCGTGGTCCGAGCAGAGGGTGAATGAGCATCACAGCAGGTAGTAACGCAGCGCATCGACCGCCCACCGGATGGCCAGGCACTCCCTCTCCACAGTGCTGTACCTGGCCTCCCTGTCAGAGAGTTTCCGGCTGATGTACAGTCATGGCCAAAAATTTTGAGAATGATGCAAATGTTAATATTTACAAAGTCTACTGCTTCAGTTTTTTAACGGCAATTTGCATATACTCCAGAATGTTAAAAAGAGTGTTCAGCATAACAGCAATTAATTGTAAAGTCAATATTTGGCCAGAAAATTAACTTTATCCCCCAAAACACATTTCAACGTCATTGTTGCCAATAAGGCTCCAGGGCGCCCAAAAAAGACGAGCAAGCGCCAGGACCGTCTCTTAAAAGTGTTTCAGCTATGGGATCGGGCCACCAGCAGTGCAGAGCTAGCTCAGGAATGGCAGCAGGCAGGTGTGGGTGCATCTGCACGCACTGTGAGGCCGAGACTCCTGGAGCAAGGCCTGGTCTCAAGGAGGGCGGCAAAGAAGCCATTTCTCTCCAGGAAAAACATCAGGGACAGACTGATATTCTGCAAAAGGAACAGGGGGTGGACTACTGAGGACTGGGGTAAAGTCATTTTCTGTGAGCGCTACCACCAGTCTTGTCTCATGCCAACTGTAAAGCATCCTGAAACCATTCATGTGTGGGGTTGCTTCTCAGCCAAGGGAGTCAGCTCTCTCACAGTCTTACCTAAAAACACAGCCATGAATAAAGAATGGTACCAGAATGTCCTCCGGGAGCAACTCCTCCCAACCGTCCAAGAGCACCTTGGTGATGAACAATGCCTTTTCCAGCATGATGGAGCACCTTGCCATAAAGCAAAGGTGATATCTAACTGGTTTAGGGAACAAAACATAGATATTTTGGGTCCATGGGCTGGAAACTCCCCTGATCTTAATCCCATTGAAAACTAATGGTCAATCATCAAGAGACGGGTGGAAAAACAAAAACCTAGGAATTCTGACCAAATTCAAGCATTGATTGTATTCCTGTATGTGATGACAACATCTGACATACACACATGAAAAACAGAGGGCAGCAGATCATGTGTAAATATAATATTTGTGTCATTCTCAATACTTTTGGCCATGACTGTAGAGCACAGGGCGATCGACGCCCTGCACCTGCTGGGACAGAACCGCCCCCAACCCTCTGCCCGACGCATCAGTCTGCAGTGTAAAGGAGAGACAGAAGTTAGGTGTGTGGAGAAGAGGCTCCCCACAGAGGGTCTGTTTTACCCTCTCAAGCGACACCTGACACTGCTCCGTCCACTGGACCGGATCTGAGGCACCCCTTCGGGTGAGGTCGGTCAAGGGGCTGGTGAGTTCGGCGAAGTTGGGAATAAACCGCTGGTAATAGCCGGCCAGCCCCAAGAACCGCCGCACCTCTTTTTTCGTCTTGGGTCTTGGGCAGGCCGCAATCGCCGCCGTCTTGTCAACCTGTGGACACACCTGCCCACCACCCAAGTGGTACCCCAGATACCATACCTCCCTCCGTCCAACTGCACACTTCTTCGGGTTGGCCGTGAGCCCCGCCTGCCTCAGGGACTCGAGCACCGCAGCCACCTGCCGCATATGCTATGTTTTTTCCCCTATACTGTATTTCCACTGGCACCACAGGGTATCTGTGAACATCCCCATGCACACACATAATGTCCACACACCCCGTCTCCAACAATGCCCCGGGTCAAACCAGGTTCTGGTGAACCATGGACTGGGTACAGCCCGAATCCACCATCGCCCGATGTGTACCCCCCTGAATCCTTACTGGAACACTGTACGTCCCTCTTGGACCGGGGGAGGGTGCTGGAGGGCCGACCACCCGGATCACCTGGCCCACCTCCATCAGTGGGCACTCCCGGCGAAAGTGGCCGGGCCGTCCACACCTCCAGCGCGCCTGCCCTGCCGCCTGAGGAACCCCCTGTGGGTGGGGAGCAGCGCCCGTAGCGGCCGGGACCTGGACCTGGGGGGGAGCAGAGCAGCGAGCACGGGGGGCAGGAAAGGGACGAGCAGTCGTGGGGGCCCGTGGACTGGATGCGGGTGCCGACTTCCGTCTGGGTGCCGGTGTTGGCGGGGCTGACGGCTCGCCACCCGGTGTCCCACGTGGAGAAACCACCGCCAGGTGGTCTTCTGCCAGGGCGACAGCCGCCGCCAGATCCGCCGGGCGGTGGCACCGCACCCAGTCTGAAGTTGCCGCAGGGAGCCCTGCCACAAACTGCTCAAGGACCACTGCCTCCACCAGCCGCTGCTCGCCCGCAGCCTCGCAGGGTTACAACCAGCGGGTTGCCGCATCCCGCAGCTGCTGCGCGAAACTGAATGGGCGCCCCTCTGGTCCCAGCTGGGCCTCCCGGAACCGGCGCCGATGATCCTCCGGCGAAAATCCCAGGCGATCCAGCACGGCCCTCCTCACCTCCGAGTATCTCCCTCGGTAGCGGGCCGGCAGACCCAGCGCCAGTATGGGCTGCTGCGGGTCTGTCATGTCAGCCTCCGTACTCCTGTCGAGGCCACGTCAGGCGCCAAATTGTGGCAGTCGTGCCACCGTGGGTGCCCCAACAGAGTCTCCGAGACCAAGATTTGATTGTTTCGACGGTTTATTTCCAGAGCGTGTGTGCCACCGGCACACACACTCTCGCACACAATCACACGCACGCCCGGCTTGGGCTCTTTCGCTCATAGGTTTGGTTGCCAGTTGTGTCTCCGAACTGGTGGCTTGTCTCCTGCTCAAGCTCCCCTTCCTCCCAGGTCCAGCACGCTACTCTTTTACAGAGGGGAGAGTGATTAGGAAACTGGTTCTAGGTGCGCTCAATCATCTCCCCTGGCACTGCTCACCTGAGCCTTGTCCCCACCTCCCCCCTGCAGCTGAGCGCCACGCCCCCTCTACACCCAGCATCTGCAGAACCTGCCCCTTTCATTTTATTCCTCCTGCTCAGCCAAATGCTCATCTTAGCCTGACCCAACAAAAGATTTACCAGACAGATCTTTCCCCTTTGTGCTGCCGAGTATCTGGGCCAAAAAATAAACAACTCACTGTTAAAACTAAGTCCTAATGCTCCCACCCACTGCTTTAAAAGAGACAATAGAGGACCTATTCTGGGACATCGTATCCACAAGTGTTCTAACGTCTCCTCAGCCTTACAGAATGCGCACTGACTCCCTGCCCTGTGATCAATACGTGCCACATGTCTGTTTGTTGCCACGGCCCCGTGCACAACCCTCCACTGGAGATCCGCACTGTTTCTCCAGGTGCTTCAGAGAAGTTCCATAGCTCTGGTGTTTTAAAAGACAGCAGGAGCCCAT